CTGGCTGTCAAATGCCTCACTGCAGTCTTGGTGATCACAGGCACCTGAGCAATCCGTCCGTGAAGAATGGGTGGGTTGGGTGGGTGGTCTGGGCTGGGGTGTGGAAGGGGAGAACCAGAGCAGAGTTCCCGCGGACCTCTCCCCGCCTTCCTCGTCCAGTCCATTCGTTCTCAGAATGTGGCGGGAGCCTGGCCCCAGCGCCATGGCCAGTGGCTGCAGGAATTGGTCTTTTGGAAAGACTACTTATCAGGAGCCATCGAGGCGTCCCTTTGACCTTGTAACCCTCCTGGAGGAATGAGAAGGCGGGGCCGGGGAGAGAGGTGTGTGTAGGGAGGGCTGTTTTGGAGCTGGGCTCATTTAGGGGCGCATCCCAAACCAAATGCCACCCAGGGGTACCTGATGCTTCTGCGCCCCCGAGTCTTTCCCAGGATGGAGAGGAGTTAGCCGCCTTCAGGAGAGCAGTGGCCGTTTGTGATGTCCCAGTCGCAGGGCACGCAGTGTTGTGTCCTGCCGGGGATTCCAGAAAGTGCGGAAGAGAGCTGTGCTCTTTGTTGGAAAAATGAAGATGTGGGTGCCTACTTGGGGGTCCGAGGAGTATGACTCTTCTGTCTTCATCTCTTACCTTTTTGGTAACCTGCCTTATCCAGTTATAAAAATGCTTATTGCAACAGAAGAAAAGAAAAATGTATATATGGATTTGTAGGGACCCCTGTGTCCCCAAGAGGGGCACCCCATAGGGGCAGCCTGACATCCCCACCGCTCCCTCAGGCTGTGCGCAGGTCATGACAGGTGCTCTGGTGGGGGGGGGGACGCTGCTCCCCGGTATAATGGCTCCCTGTGCCTCACCCACTGAGACGAGCTGCTGAGCCCCAAGCACAGCGCCTGGTACACGCACGGTTCCCTGAAGGATGTGCCCTCTTTCTCCAAGCCTATGACACAGTGCCACCACCGGGCCTTTTGTCCTTCTCCTATCCCATCTCATTGAAAGCCCATCGCAATGGTCCCAAAGGGACCATTGTCATGTAATAATCCCCATTTTACAGATGGGAAAGCTGAGTCATTAGTTGCCATTCACAAAGCCTCTGCTGAGTCCCAAACTCGGGCTCTCAGCATGAATCTTCATGGACGCTCACAGGACACCTTAGGGCCGCTCTTCATATCTGCTTCCCATTGTGGGGAAACTGAGGCTCTGTCAGATTATTCCCCAAAGGACATGCAGCCAGAAAGAATGACGGGCACATTTATCCCTGGGTTTTCTGCCTCCGCGTCTGGTTGAGTTTTTTCTTCTGAGCTGTGTTGTGCAAGCCTCCTCCATGGAAGGCGCGTTGTTGTTGGTCTGCTAGGATCCCGCTCCTTTTTCTGGCTGCCCCATGCCCGTCCCCTTTGCTCCCGGTAGGCATCTCCCTGGTGGGTTTGCTGTAGGCCCCGTGTGTACCCTTCCTCCTCTGTTGTTTTGATTGGGTATCTGTTTTGAATTTGGACAGATGGGATTCAGCTACAGATCTCTCTCTGGTTTCTCTCTCAGTTTTGTCTTTTTACTCAGCACAGCCCTCCTTTGGTGTCTGCAGAAGACTGGTCCCGGGATCCCCCGGGGATCCCCTGATCCACAGATGCTCAAGTCCCCTATGGAAAGGGGTCCAGTACTTGGATATAACCTACCCGCATCCTGCCATGTCCTTTCAAGCATCTTTAGATTATTTCTAATTCCTAATGCAATGTAAATACTGTGTAAAGTTGTTATACTGCTGTTTTCTCCTGCCAAGGTGTGTTCTGACTGACTCTGGGGCCCATCACCCTATATTCATAGCCTTTGGTTTTTACACAGTACACGTCAGCAATAACATAACTCCCCCCACACCCCCAATACTGCAATACTGTCAATCCATGGGTGATTGAATCCACAGATTCGGTGCCTGTGGATACAGAGGGCCGGCTGTTCCATCTTTGTAGATCCCACCTGGTTGCTCTGTGTACACCTAGCTCATATGGGGCTGCCTCTCCCCTCCCCTTGCCGTAGGTCCTGCCATTGGCTGGTCTCGGCCCTGCTGATGAGCCCAGCCGTGGCCTGTGGCAGGCATGCACACCTGTAGTCGCAGGGACTGTGGGAGAGTCAGAGAAACTAGCTGAGGTGAATGAGTCACCGTGCGTTCACAAGTGCTGCCCGATCGTTTTCCAGAATGACTGTGCCGCTTGCCGGGCCACCGGTGTGCTCCGCGTTCCGGTTTCCCCACGTCCTCCCGGCACCTGGCGCTGTCAGAGGGGCAGGAAGGATGCGTGTGTAAGCTCAGGCGCATCACGGCACTGGCTTCGCGTCTCTGAGGCGCCTGCTCACTGCACGTCAACGTATCATAACAACATCTTGAGCAGGAGGGCACAGGGAAGGGGAGAGGGGACGCCTTACTTAGTGCAACTCTGTCTTCTATTAAGGAAGACTGCTTTCCCAGAAACCCCCGGTAGGTAGACTTCCCTTATGTTTTTTAGTTTTCTTTTTTGTTGTTGTTGTTAATCCTCACCTGAGGATATTTTTCCATTGATTTTCAGGGAGAGTGGAAAAGAGAGGGAAAGACAGAAACATCGATGTGAGAGAAACACATCAATTGGTTGCCTTCTGCATGTGCCCGGACCTGGGCTGGAGCCAGGGAGGAGCCTGCAACCTAGGTATGTGCCCTTGACTAGAATTGAACCCGGGACCCTTTGGTCCACAGGCAGACGATCTATCCACTGAGCCAAACTGGCTAGGGCCACTTCCCTGTGTCTTATTAGCCCGGTGGGACTGGGCGTCCTCCCGAAGGCAGTCCCCGACAGAGAGAACGGATCCGATCGCCTGGCTGCCTGCCTGCCCAGGACCCGAGCAGAGCTGGCCGTGTCTGAGTCAGGATGAAGATACAGGGGCTGAGCACCGACTCAGCGATAGTCTTTCACACCAGATCTCTCATTTTGCAGTTTGTGAGTACATCGTGCTTCTTTCGTTCAAGGGACCGTCCCCTTTCACGTCTGTGATTAACCACATGCAGAGTTTCTGATTGAGTCGACCAGCACGCGACCGTGACCTTGGGCCCAGATCTGCCCAACTCATTCTGGAATTTGCCATTCTTGTCAGCCGGACGTCAGACCTGTTCCCACGCCAGCTGCCCCAGCGTCAGTTTCCTTCTGGGCTCCCCGGGGAGAGGTCAGGACAGAGGTTCAGGTGGCCGAGCGCCCACCTCCGGCCCAGGCCGGGGGTCCCAGGCAGAATGCCGGCTGAGGACAGGTGGGAAGAACACCTGTCCGGGAACAGGACCACAGCAGGCAGCCACTTCCCCTCAGCCTCGCGCCTGCTCTGTAACCCTGTGCTTCTGCCTCACCAAAGAAATGACTAGTAAGTTCTCAGTGGTACCCAGTAGTTACAATTTACTGAGCAGTTACTCTGTCAGGTGGCCCAGTAAGCACCTTTTTCCTATGATCTCATCACATTTCTGCCCTATCAGGCCCTTTCTGTGTTTTGGTTAAAGCACCGGCTCCAGTCAGACCTCCCATGGAATCCCTGTTCGGAAATGTATTGGCTGGGTGGCCTTGGGCAAGTTACTGCACCGTGCTGTGCGCCTCAGCTTTCTCGTTTGTTTGTGGAGAATAATACCAGCGTGATGCAAATACTTGATGCGTTAATAAACAATAACTGCTGAGGGTAACACCGGCTTAGAGTGCACACGGCTTAGAGTGCACACGTAGTTCACGCCTGATAAATGTTACCTGTTGTTTTTGCCATTTTTTAAAAATGAGGAGCCCGGCCAGTGTTGCTCAGTGGTTGAGTGTCGACCCACGAACGAGAGGTCCCCGGTTCGATTCCCTGTCAGGGTGTGTGCCAGGGTTGCAGGCTTGATCCTCAGTGGGGGACGTGCGGGAGGCCACTGATCAGTGATTCTCTCTCATCATTGAGGTTTCTATCCCTCTCCCTTCCTCTCTGAAATAAATAAAAAATATATAGAAAAAAAATAAACTTTACAATGAAGAAATCAGAGGCTCAGAGAGATCAACTTACCAAACACCAGGCAGCTGGGAGTCGCAGGGCCTCTTACCCCCCTGCACATCG